CATGGGAGCACGATAAAGATGCTACAGGCAATTTTAATTGAAGCACACAGAATTACAGTATGCTTATAGCATCTTTCTATAGGCTAACACACAGGTTAATACACTAAAATGAGGGTAATTGTAGAGTCAAGAGTTAGCCATTCTCCATAGCTGGTGAGTCCAATCGACGTTATGAGCCTTCCATGGCTTTCCGAGTCATTGTGTCTGAAGCTGTATGTGCTGACGTAGGAGCTGCTGTCTATCTAACGACCATTTGCCTGCTCCATTAGCTCTTATGCATGTGTATGTGTGTGTGGTGATTATTGTGTTTGTGTCTCAAACGCAGGTTTAGCAACCCCAACCATTCAGAGCCTCACCTAACGTCAGCGCTTTACTGACAAGAAAAAAGATCCAAGCTTTTTTCTAACAGGATGAAACAACACATTTACAGAGAGGATGATAATGTAATCTAGTGTAAGACTTTTGACTTTTTGAGAATATCATAAGTGAACATCGGATTTTCTTGACTATAAAAGAGCTCATTTGAACCTGGTTAAAGGTGGGGTAGGTAAGTTTGAGAAACCGGCTCGAGATACACTTTTTGTTATATTCCATGGAATGCTCTTACATCCCGATAGCAATGAATATCTTAAGTGCTTTGACAAAAAATCCATAAAAAAATGTAATCTGTGGAAGCCGTAGTACTGTGAAAAGCACGACCAATCATCTGAGCCGGCCCGGCTAAAATAACTGGATGGCCTACCTGCCTGTCAGCCTTCCATCTGTGCACAAACTTATCTCGTGCCCTCATTGGTCATGTGCGCGTTCGTGTGTGTTGGAGGAGGGGCTCTGTAAGGAAGTGGCAGATTTTTTCCGGCTGTGTATTTTCAAATTCTAGCGTACTCAAGCTGGTTTCTCCAAAATTACCCACCCCACCTTTAAGCTTCCAAAGCACTGCCATATATGTCTCAAAGCACCCAGTATGACTGTTAGTCAAAACCACATATTTAAGTTAACTACTCACAGCGTAAACACCACAACAGAAGGCTAATGGTGTTTCAACAGAGGGCAGCACACTGTTATTGTTGACTGTATCATTCACAGGAGAACACAAGATCACATTGAAAAAACAATCAGAAACAACAAGCAACTCAAAATAGAGAAGAGGAGGAGACAGAGGAGTTATATATGAGGAACAGAGGGAGGGAGGAGGGAGGAGGAGTGTGGCTTTGCAGTCATTAATTAGCCGTTAGCTCGGGCCCGCAGCGGTGCGGTAGGGCCTTTGCCTTTGTGGGCCCGAAGGAAATGGGCCACATATGAGAGCCATTATAGGGAACTGACTTAACAAAGACACATGCCTGTCAGCCACCGGCTGGCTGGGCCGCTCTGGCCTACGACACACAAAGGGCCCACCACCACCACTGTGTGTGTGTGTGGTGTGTGTGTGTGTGTGTGTTGTGTTGTGTGGTGTGTGTGTGTGTGTGGTGTGTGTGTGTGTGGTGTGTGTGTGTGGTTGTGTGTGTGTGTGTGTGTTGGTGCCCATAGTTGTGTTTTAGCATGTGTATGTGCAAAGGGAATATATATGACCATGTGTGCACAGTTGCAATAACCGCCGTCTCTTCTGTAAGTTTATATCAGATGCCTGTTTTATGTGTGTGTGTGTGTGTGGGTGTGTGTGGTGTGTGTGTGTGTGTGTGTGTGTGTGTGTGTGTGTGTGTGTGTGTGTGTGTGTGTATGTGTGTCTGTTTGAGCTTGGGAGAAGTGGAAAGTAACTAAGTACATTTACTCAAGTACTGTACTTAAGTACACATTCGGAGATACTCAGACTTTACTTGAGTATTTTCCTTCTGTGCCACTTTACACTTCTACTCCACTCCAATTTAAGGGGACTATTACTTACTCCATTTACTTTAAAGCTTGAGTTTCTTATAGATTCATATTTTTACACACAAAGTATGAAGAACTTTTAAGATATGATGATTTAAATTAGATCAAACCGTATTGCACCCAAGTAATTACGGGATTTGCTGTTTTCCTCTCTCTCTCTTCTCTCTCCCTCTCTCATCTCTCTCTCATCTCTCTCTCTCCTCCCTCCTCTCTCTCTTTCTCTATATCTATATGTATATTATCTTTATTTTTATGATTAGTTTTACTTTACTCTAAGTACATCTTCCTGATCATACTTCAATACTTTTACGTAACCACCATTCTCAATATCTTGACTTTTAATGGAGTATTTTTACAGGGTGTCAGTACTTTTACTTTAGTTAAGGATCTTCTTCCACCACTGGAGATTGCATACATGTTTGTACTTTCTGTATTAACATCAGCTGTTTTTCTTTATGTGTCTGTGTGTTGCCTGTGTATGTGTGTTGCCTGTGTCTGTGTGTTGCCTGTGTCTGTGTGTTGCCTGTGTCTGTGTGTTGCCTGTGTATGTGTGTTGCATGTGTCTGTGTGTTGCCTGTGTCTGTGTGTTGCCTGTGTCTGTGTGTTGCATGTGTCTGTGTGTTGCCTGTGTCTGTGTGTTGCCTGTGTTTATGTGTTGCCTGTGTCTGTGTGTTGCCTGTGTCTGTGTGTTGCCTGTGTCTGTGTGTTGCATGTGTCTGTGTGTTGCCTGTGTCTGTGTGTTGCCTGTGTTTGTGTGTTGCCTGTGTCTGTGTGTTGCCTGTGTCTGTGTGTTGCCTGTGTCTGTGTGTTGCATGTGTCTGTGTGTTGCCTGTGTTTATGTGTTGCCTGTGTCCGTGTTGCATGTGTCGTGGTGTGCCCTGTGTCTGTGTGTTGGCCCCGTGTCTGGTGTGTTTTGCCTGTGTCTGTGTGTTGCCTGTGTCTTGTGTGGGTCATGTGTCTGTTGTGGTTGCCTGATGTTTGTGTGTTGGCCTGTGGTCCTGTGGTGTTGCATGTGTCTGTGGTGTTGCCTGTGTCTGTGTGTGTAACCATATCTATCAGAAAATGGGGCCATCGGAAGCGGTTTTTTAACCCGTGGAACATCCCCCGCTGGGCTCTCACACCATTTAAAAAACCACATGGACAGGAAACCTGGGGTCACTTTGAACTACACTGCGCGCCCCCCCCCCACCCCCCCCCCTCATTACACACATTGCACCACTCATCGACAAACACACGGACACCAGCCAGGGACAAAACAAAAAGAACGAAACGCGACAGACAGAATGGAAAAACAGCTCCTACTGGGATTGTCATTGTCTCCATTCATAAATCAGATCCAGATAAGACTCAGTTCATTGCCGAACTATAAAACTTTCAAAATGTCTGATAATGAAAGCATTAAATTAATGCTAATTAATCACTGAAGCTCGGTTAACTGTTTTCATGATGCAACAGCTGGCACATCAGGGGGTTGCAACGCTTCCACTTTTCTAGCAGAGAAACTTTCTTATTTTTTTCCATCTGGACAACATGTTGTGTTTTAAATTAAGATATGAAAAACATGCTGCACTTCATAAAAAGGGGGCTTTTACCAGACTGAGGCCTATTCTCTTTTAGCTGAAAACAGTAGCATTTGGTCAGCTCCTCGGAGTATTGGCCTGAGAGGAGCTCAGGTCTGGATTTGATAAGTGGAAACAGACCGGTGCAGCGCTGCCTGTGTGTTTAAAGCCAATACACATCCGACACAGCGTAAACAGCCCGTACTCCAGTGACTAAGCCCTGGAGCTTAGCCATAATAATGCTAACCCTCTGTACAGTAGATAGACCATATGCTCCTTGCTAAGCTGGGTTTGTTCACCAAGAAATTCCATTGTTTTAAAAATAGCCATTGCAACACACCCAACTGTTATTTAACAGCTTTACAAGGAAACTAATTTGCCTCCGTGCAATAAATAAAGTAATTCTGGAATTGTATAATGTAATTCAACGAGGAAAGTAACTGTGAAACATGAGCTAGAGAGGGAAAGGTGTCACCTGGATTTAAAGCAGATACTTCTGAAGCTCTACATGATAACACGCTGCTCTCAAGAGCTATTTCCTGCGTGTCCCTTCATCCTCAAAACCAAACATGACACAGTATCCGTGCTTCACAGCGTGGAAGAGGATCCGAGTAAGAGCTACTTTTTTTATGGTCTTGCTCTCCCCCGGGGCTCAGAGGGGCTAATGAAGTCCGATCCGAGCTTTATTAAGATCTAGAGGTGGGGCCTCGTAATAAAAAAGGCAGAAGAAGAAGAGGGGGGGAAAACACAAGCTCTCGTTAACTGCATCACACCTCCGGAGCACAGGGAGATCCAACGCTCGGGGCCCATGGGGGGTAAAGGGCTACGAGACTGAAGCCGGCGCAGCGGCAAGTGGATTCAAATAGTCTCACGAGGCGATTTAATTCAGCACCACTTAAAAAAACTTGATAAAACACAAGCTGGCTAACTCCCCACATGGCTATCGTGTAGATTTACCGGCATTTGGCTCACAGCTGGTGGTCATTGCTTGGGGACTGTATGTATGTACTGAATGCATCAGGTGGCACGGTGAAACAGATGTGAGGAGGAAGAAATGGAAACAAACTATGATGTGGGAATAAAACAGGAATCAGTATGCGTAGGTCCAGGATACATACATACAGTTTCTCCTTTTCTTAACCAGCGTATATTGTTATTTTTTAGCGTGTCATGTATGGGCTCAGTGAGAGGAACATTAAAGGTTCAATTGAAACAGACGGAGAGAGGAAACACATGTTGATAAATAGACATCTAGAGTACGAGAAGGAGTAGGAGGAAGCCTGAAGGATGCTGGGATATCGATCGCTGACTGATCAATGCCGCTGTAAATGATCCGGCCATAACCAGGGCAATTACTGGGTCGTCGTTTCTGTGTGTGTGTGTGTGCGTGTGCGCGTGTGCGTGTGCGTGTGCGTGTGCGTGCGTGCGTGCGTGAGTGCGCGTGCGTGTGTGCGTGTGCGTGTGTGTGTGTGCGTGCGCATGTGTGTGTGTGTGTGTGTGTGTGTGTGTGTGTGTGTGTGTGTGTGTGTGTGTGTGTGTGTGTGTGTGTGTGTGTGTGCATGCCTTTGTATTTACTGTATATGCAAGGCTGGTGAGTTGTAGCTGTCGTACCTGTCAATAGCGGGCAAAAAATAAAAGGACAAAGGTCACGACCTCTCACGATATTGTTGTTTTCTAATCACACTCAATAATAATGGAGAAAGAGGAAAACTGAGGCAATCCAGACGGAGGACAAAAGACAAAACATCAGCAGCGTCCTCTCAGAGATGGACACAACAAAGAAGAGACAAGGGGAGTCTGCAGTCTCTTGCACTTTATATGTCGTTGCTGCCAGGTGGTAAATACTTGTGTGTGCTGCTCCTGCTCTTTTCGCATATCATGTATTTATTTGTGCTATGTTTATAAATGTCATGTTCTTATATGTTGTATGGAAATGAGCTCAAAGCTAAAATACACTTGAAGCATTATTTGTCTAAAGTGTTCATTAATGTGCATTGTCCCTGTTCAAATAAACGATGAAATGAAAATGAAATGAAATGCAGAGGGCAAGAGTCAACTTAGAAATGTGAGGAATGAATGAAAGAAGAGTGTGTTTGTGAGTGTGATTGAGAGTTTGTGAGTGTGTGTGTGCCTACTAACCTGGATCTGTTGTTGGAGAATGTTTATCTTGTGCTGCTGCTGCAGGAGCTGCTGCTGTTGTCTGGCAATCTGCACAAAGAGATAGAGAATATTAACAAAACAATCATGCCTTACACAATTCTGAGAAGATGCATAGCAAGTAAATGGACTGTACTTATATAGCGCTTTATCCAGTCTTGAAGACCCCTCAAAGCGCTTTACATACTACATGTCATTCACCCATTCATACAGAGCAGTGTACCTTACTCTAGGACCTAACATTCACACACCGTTGGCCATCGGGAGCAACTCAGGGTTAAGTATCTTGCCCAAGGATACATCGACATGTTGACTGCATGGGCTGGGATCGAACCCACTACCTTCTGGTTGAAAGACGACCGCACTCCCTCGCAGCCACAGTCCCCCAAGTAGTTGTGTTGTGTCAAACTCCTTCATTTTTCTTTCAATGGGATTAAATCTGTTTTACTATAACAATAATACAAACATCTGCTAGAAAATCGGATTATTGGAAGAAAGGGGGCATGAGCACAGAACTAATGACCCCATTGAATATTTTACAGGCTTGCCACACATGTGACAAAGAGGGGTTTTACAGGATGAAATCCAGATGAAAAGATACTATCGGAAACCGAGGACCTGTTGTCAATCAGTCTGTTATTTTTTATATTCTGTTATTAAATTATAGACGGACTGTAACACCACTGTTTCTTTCTGTTAATATCAAAATAAAAACCTGCTTTACAAACTCCTTCTTTTTTTGTATTTGTATCCTTAATTATCTACTCAAAGTGATTATTTCACTGCCTACAATTGATTATGTTGAACATCATTGAAAAATCGTACGATCCCACCAAAGAAATGACGCCCCTTGGTCAAACACAGAAACCAAAAGCACAGACATACATGCTTTATTGAGAAGGGAAAAACACTGAAAGATCAGACCGATGTGGTGCAGCACCATAATAGGTTTTTTTAACAGTGTGGAGAGCTTCTCAATAAATCTCTTAAAGGTGGGGGTAGGTAATTTTGGAGAAACCAGCTCGAGATCGCTAGAATTAAAAAATACACAGCCGGAAGAAATCTGCCACTTCCTTACAGAGCCCCTCCTCCAACACACACGATCGCGCACATGACCAATGATTGCACGAGATAAGTTTGTGCACAGATGGAAGGCTGACAAGCAGGTAGGCCATCCAGTTATTTTAGCTGGGCCGGCTCAGATGATTGGTCGTACTTTTTACAGTACCACGGCTTCCACAGATGACATTTTTTTATGGATTTTTTGTCAAAGCACTTCAGATATTCATTGCTATCGGGATGTTAAGAGCATTCCATGGAATATAACAAAAAGTGTATCTCGAGCCGGTTTCTCAAACTTACCTACCCCACCTTTAACTGACAATGAATTGTGAGATTGACATGTTTACTACACCTAGCATGCCTCTAAAACCCCCTATACACCCATCAATGCTCATCAACAGAAGAGGCGATGATTACTTGTTCTTTTGTTTTGCTGTTTTGTCTAATAAAAAAACACCTGAAGTCAAGGACCATGTTATGCAGCTTGGATCGTCCACTCACATGAGGTCAAAACCCTTAAAGGGGCAGCACGTCGGCTTTTTGATCCCGCCCCCTCTGCGCCAGAAAAGTAAAGCAGCTGCCCTTTCTTTTCTTTCTTTTTTACCCGAGAAGTCGTTTAGTATATTTATTCTGAAATGTAATTACAGGCTGCTGAATGGGAGGCGGCGCCCCATTTGCACACATGTCATATTTCATTAAAGGCAGATTTCTCAGGGTTTGTCTGCAGGGCATTATCCTATCAAGTCTCAACAGCCAAATGACTGGCTGATATTGGAATCTGTCTTTCTTTTCACTCTCTCCATCTCCCCCGTTCCTTTGTGAAGCCATGAGAGGTGGAATGTGTTGTGATGGGAGGTGTGGACTAGTCCAAACAGAGCCTGTCGTACGTCGACCTACAGTAACGTGTCGGCATAAAGCGAAAACAAAGAGAGCTCATCTAAACACCTCTTTGCTTCCCTGCTTTCTCTGTCACACGCTTATTATCCTACATCTGACACCTGCAGACACACGCATCAGCATCTGACACTTTTTGATTCCACACACAAACACAAATACACGTAGACACTTTTTTGTCTTAACAACTATTCAAGAAAGTTTTGTCTAATCTCTTTTTTCAAATGTGTGGGTTAATGTATGGGTAACCTGGTGTCGAGCTAAGCTATTAGCATATGCAAACTACATGGATGTCACATGATTGAATAAATAGTAGTAAGACCGTAGACTCACAGGCACTAATTATTCATCCCAGGATGCATTGCACGATTCAAAACTGTTTATCTAACCCCTAAACACATCTAAATCTACTTTGAACATGGATACATCATCATCCATTGTCACTTTATTCACAAAACACTGTTTTTCCAGGATAGATAACAAATCTATTGAAAATGATATGAGCACACCGAACCAAATGCGAGAAAGGTAAGGAACTCAGCTATAATAGGAAGTTTCAAAACGACTTGTTAAGGTTTAAGAAAGACCCCTCCTCCCTACCTGATCCTGCTGCTGTCTGGCCAGCTCCATCTGTTGCCTCTGCTTCTCCAGCTGTGAGGCGGCCATCCTTTTCTGCTCGTCATGGGCGGAGAGGAGCTGCTCCCTCAGACTGATCAGCTGACCGATCATCGTGGAAAGTTGGTGCTCCTTCTCCTCCAGCGACTCAGGCGTGCCTGGAGACAGAGAAAAGGGTTATGATTGAAAAGATGTGGAAATAGGAAAGGTCTGCTGACTCAGGTCATTTGTTTAAAAGCAGAAATACATGACACAGTGTTTAGTTAGTGGTAAAGGATGATTATCGAGGGCCATGTTTAATTCCTTCTGTTACTCATTGATTGGTATTAACACTGCATGAATAGGGTGTTTTATTCTAACTTAGTCAAGGCAAGAAGTCTGGAGGATGCTCGATGCAATACTTGCCATGGATGAACAGTTTTGGATTTTTTGGATTCAAGAAACCAAACCAAAGTAACTTTAACATATGTATCTACAAGCTAAGAACAAAGAAAAACGTTCTTATAATGGGAGCTCAACAGCCGCCACTCCACTTATTCACTTATTACCAACTAAACCCATCTTCAAATCAACCTTAAAACTTAATCCAACTACACACTTTTACATTTTCATGACTGCATCTTGCATCGTTGTGACGTTATTCCAGTGACACAATCTGTCTACAGACGGCCAGAAACATCAACACTTTGCAAACTAATCAAACCTCCTCAGTTCCCGCTACAGAAGGTGTTTCCAGGAGCAAATGTTGACATGATGACACACGCACAGACAAAGGTGAAAACAAAACGAGTGTCGCCGTTATGGCTCGTAACAAATCAAATGTGTTTTCAGAAACTCCCATACCCAAATGATCATAAATCATCTGGCTTGTAGTTACATCTGACTACTTATTATCGTCTGCCTTGTCTCTACATGCCATCAGTGTTTATCACTTAGTGTCTGCACCAAAGAACAATAAAATCACTTTGAGCTAACGTTTGAAAATAAGTAGCTGTCACAGGCTTTTGTCAGGTTTATGGTGTAAACATTCCTGGAAGGCTTTAGTCGGAAAGGAGGGCTAACATTAGAAACCAGACACTATAAAGACACAACAATCACAAAAAACAGGTTTTCACTTTTTCATCAGTATCATTTGACATCACTGTCCCACGTTACATCTTAGTTACATCAAAAATACCAAAAATATACAGAAGATGTTGGAGGGAGAGAGCAGCAAAAACCATTACGCCATCATCAAGGTAAAGGTACTGTGAGAGAAACTCCCACTGAAGAGAACTTTGGGATGTTAGCCCTTGAAGACCATTTACATGCACACAAACCTATAGGTTCAAGGTTCAAGGTTCTTTATTGTCAAACTGACATAGCTACAGAGTAATTATGTTGTTGAAAATCTTATGTCACAGGCTTCTCCAACAATGCAACATAATAACAATACAGATAGCAAGAGCAATACAAAAAGAAAAATAGTTATAAAATAAAGTGATGATGTGGAATAGTGCAGTACGAGTCTATATACAAGTTATTGGAATGATATATATTAGATATTAGATACATATTACTGAGTAGCAGATGAATGTTTTGAAGTTGTTTCAGCAGTTCAATTGTTTAACAGTCTCACTGCCCGCGGGAAGCAACTGTCTCCGAATCTTCTTGTCTTTGCCAGGATGCTGCGGTAACGTCAATATAACACACTACAGGAAAGGGAAACCCCAAAAACAAATGTCCCCTCTGTGGGACGTTTAAAGGTATTCTGATTCTGAAAATAAGGCCCATTTTAAGACTGAAAAAGGGAGGTGACTTTCACTTGCGCTGCAGCTTGTGACTGTAAACACTGTATACACCATGTC